GGGGGCCCTGGTAGGAGAACGTGTGGGAGTGAGGTCAGGGGTGACAGAAGCTGGCTGTAGAGCGGGGGGTGGGTTGGAAGGGTGTTAAGATGTGTGCACATTCATCAGGTCCCTTTCAGATGTGAGGTGGGACTGCACCCCAGGGCCCTGTCTTTCCGTCTGGGCCTGTGCCTGATGCATGGAAAATCAGGGGTGCCTCCTGGGTTGCAGCATTCCATGCCAGCAGGGTGCTCTGGAGCTTCTCCCTCCCTCCGATGTGCAATCACTCGGCTGGTAGCTGGTTCGACAGCCCAGGTCCCAGGTGGGGATAATGAGCTGCAGACACAGGGCAGGTGCCACCAATGCACCCAGGTGTCTTAAGCTGCTGTGATCTGGGGATTATTCACAACCGCTGCGTAGTCCAGCCTATCCTCACTGCTACATATGCGAGGGTGGGAGAGAGGTGGAGGACTTCATTCAGCGTCTCAACACGTGTTTCAGTCATTCCTTGGCCGGACGCGCTCCTGGGTGCTTAGAATACCATAAGCAGGTCCCTCCCCTCCTGACCATCTGACGGGGACAGAGGTAGGTCCAGGCATTGGCCTGCCTGGCTTGTGGTTTTCTGCGGTCACAACCATGAGCCTATGCAGCGAGTGTGGAGAAGATGGACAGCTGGGCTGCCTGAGGCTGGAACAAAGCAATCTGCTGAAAGACGAGTCCTTAATTCTCAAGAAACATCAGTGCAGGCAGGAGCAGCAGGATGACAGCACAGAGGGGATGGGCCCCATCTGGCTGGTGCCCTGGGACAGGGGAGAGCAGAGGATGGGCCAGGGGAGCTGGGCTCTGTTCCCTGGCTGGGGGCTTCTCATCTCTGAGTCTTGGCTCATTTTTTTGTGCTCTGGATTCTGTGACTTTATTAATGTGCTGGAGACCCTGTTGTTATTGGAAACAGAAGATGATTCCTTCACAGGTAGAAAGAGTCAGCCGGGTTTGGTGGCTCACAGCTGCCAGCCCAGCACTTTGGGAAGCTGAAGTGGGTGGATTACTTGAGCTCAAGATCAACTTGGTGACGCAGTGAGATGCCATCCCTACAAAAAAATATTTCTTTTAAATTAGCCAGGCCTGGTGGTGAGCACTTGTAGCCTCAGCTACTCGAGGAGGCTGAGGTGGGAGGATAGCTTGAGGCTGGGAGGTCGAGGCTGCAGTGAGCTGAGATCTCGCCATTGCACTCCAGCCCGATGACAGAGTGAGACTCTGTTTTTTAAAAAAGTCCTCTTTAAAGAGAGGCAGGTCTCCTCGGACTGGATGCTGTTACTTGCTGGACCAATACATGGCTTGTGGTGTGAGGTGGAGCGGGGCTCACAGCCCCGGAGCCGGAGACGTGGGTGTGGTTGTGAACCTGCCTCAGCTGATTGATGGGGAGCTGTAGCAGGTGGAGGACTGGAGCTCCGAGGGCTTTGATGAGGACTGGGTGAGACTGGGCTAGGAAACCTTAAATCCGAGCACTCCGGTACAGGTGAGCTTTTCCTCTGGCGTCCTCACTCTACGTTTCTTGCTTCACATTCCTTCCCAGCGCTTCTGTCTCCTCTCTCCTTGGATGCAGCTCGAGAGAACAGGTGGCATTTCCCACCCGCCTCCCCATCTCTGCTCCCAAGGATATGTAATTCTGTGTCATGTGTCTCCAGGACAGTTGATGTGGGATGGGGAGACTCGGGGGGAAGAGAGCAACTGAGGAAAGGAAGGTGGTGGTTCCAGAGGCTCAGAAGGCCGGCACTTGTCCCCCCCGCCGTGACTCATTGTGACAGGCGTGCTGTGCCAACCGCTCCCATTCGCAGATTGAATTACCATCCTATTCAGCTGACACAAAGCAGTTCCTGGCCGGCTCGGGCAGCCCATGAATAAGTAAATAGCCTTCCAGCCTGGTGCCGTGCACAAACATCTGAGGCTTGGAGAGGCTGGCGTTCACCGGGACGGGAAGCCGGGCTGGTGGGGAGGCCTGGACCTGTCTGTCTGGTCCACTAGACCACAGATCTCTGGAGCCTTGTAAGTACCTGCTTTTGGGGCTGGAGAAAGAGCCCAGTGGGTTAATGAGATGTAGCTTAGACACAGATGGGAAATCCACGACCTCCTAGGCTGCTGGCTGGAGAGCAAGGGCTGTTCTCTGGACTGAGGTGGGAAAAGGCATTTCTAGCCCCGGGGTCCGGTTTTTAAACCTTTGGGTCTTAATTGCAGCTCAAGTCGCTGTTACTGCCCCGTGGATATTTCGTTCCAAGTCTGTCCTCAGGCCCTGTTTTGGGCTAGAAAGGACCTTTATTCCCTGGGGTGAGTTTGGGTAAGTTGTGGACGGGATGTGGCTCGGGGAAACGCAGCGGGTTTAACCTGCCTGAGGGCTGCGTGTTCCCTTACTTGTCCCTCCAGCTTTCCCCCCTCAGAAATCACTGTTCTGGTGGGAGCAGGTTGGTTTTGCCACCGTGAGCGTCACAGAACTGGCATTAGAAACAGCGTCTAGTCAAAGGTGCGAAATCTCAAGTGGAAACTCCGACGCTGTGTTTGATCTTTGTGCGGCAGTTTCTGTTCCTTGAGCTCAAAGGATGACACGAGTTGAACGTCCTTTAGATGATGACTATAACCAGACAGTGGATGTAACTGCAGCATTTAATTGGTTGTAAGTCCGCCGTCCGTTGAGATCATATGTGGTAGGGATGTGAGGGCGCTCACTCCGGCCTAAGACCCGGGGGTTCCTTTTTAATTTCTTCTATATCGCGAGAACCTTGCAGTAAACAGGTGAAATGAACTGCGTCTGTGCCCAACATGAAACAGCTCTTCCCTCGTGGCGGAAGGCATGATTCTGTGCCCCGTGATGAAGATGTTTCTGGGGCAGAGCAGGTGGCTGGTGTTTTGTGTTGCCTGGCATTTGATGGCGGCAGTAAAACGCGCATCAATTAATCATTGTTTTTGTCTTCCTCTTTGCCTAAATGGCTCTGCTAATTAAAACTTCGTGGAAAGTGGTCTTTGAGCTCTGTACTGAATTTTACTTGGGCTCCTTAGGGTCGCTTATGCACAGCCCCACAAAGCCTTTAATCTTGCTGGACCACTTTTGAATTAATGATCATCCTACTTCACAGGTAACCAAACGGAGTAGTTTTTCATGTCCTATAACCATTAGCAAGCTCTCCAGTCAGCCCGGTGAGATATTAGAGCCTGTTAGCCTCTTTAACGATTGAGCAGGCCGAGCAGAGGGCAGGAGGGGTCCAGAGCAAAGCTGGTTGAAAGAGCGCAGCCCCGGAGCCCGGGAAGATGAGGGAGAAAGCAGTGGATTGTCTTACTCTGTGCCGCGGGCTCTGACGTCACTACATGCACCGAGAAGCCGGGAATCATTGCCCCACCTAAAATTTTTTCTTCTTTAATAGAACTGGAAAAAAAATAGACATAACGTGCCGATTATCATGACTTCTGTAATCTTGTTTATTCATGTTATTCTTAACGATTTCTCTGAGAGAACATGATTCCTCAGAGGCGCAGGATAGGATGTGTGTTGGCAGAGGTAAGGACTCGGGTGGTTGCATTACGAGGAGGAGGTGTGATGACCAGTGCCTCTGCCTGCAGGGATCTCACTGGAGGTCTCCGCCTCCAGCCCACCTGACCCTGGTTAGAAACATCCCTGTGCCTTGCATTGTTTACCGAAACCATCCCACAGTGAAGCAGGTGGACCCGTGGTGTTGCATCAGGTGATTTTTAGAAGACGTATAGACTTTTTGAAATGTTTTTATCTGACAGCTGTTTGTTTCTTGTAGTTTAAGGAGAAGACATAAGCACATCAAGGTAATGTGATAGTGTAAGGTCTCCCTTGAGACCGATTCGTAGAGGAAGACTTCAGTGAGTTTCCAAACTAGACAGCATGCTTTCTTTTGTGCTCCAACAGTACTTTTTAACTTGAAGGGGCATGCATATAATTTGAAAACTCAAGTGCGTAAAGGTTTATGAAAAAAATTCTCCTGCTGTCTCCTCTTTCCTTACGCAGTCCCTCAAGCCCGCTTTCAGTGTTTCTAGTGGTTTTCTTCTCGAAGCTCCTAATACTAAAAATTGCCTGTACTGTGCCTTTTTTGACTTGCCAATTTTCCTAAGTCAAAAATATTAGCACTTTCCGGGATGATGGACAAGCGGTTCTCGAAGGGCTTGGAGTGGGCAGTTTTGCCTTTCAGGGTTGGTGTTGGAGATGCTTCTGTTTGTCATGATTCAGGGAAAAGCGTGTGCTACTGGCCTCTGCGTGCTGCTGGCGGGGATACAGCTCAGTGCCCCATAGTGCCCAGGAGGAGTTATCTGGCCCCAAACCTTACTCTGCTGAGGTTGAGAAGCTCTGTGGTAGCTGAAGATTAGATTCCCTCCCCGAATCTAGGCACATGGTTAAACTGCTACTATTTAAGTGAACAATTAGTCGTCACGTCGTCGTTGTGTGTATACTGTTAGCGGCAGCACCAGTTAGTGGCTGCGATTACATTGTTTTCATTGAACGGCGTTTTAGCTTTCCTGGCGTTATTAATAGCCTGGTTTTCAGTTGTGCCTTTGCAATCCACATATTAAAAACTCTTCTCCAGTTCTTCCTAATATCAGAAGCTTTTCTTGAGTCTCTTTTCTCCAGCGTTATTATTTCTAAAGCCCTTTGTGGTCTTGTTTCAAACCAATTGCTGGAGAGCTAAGGCTCAGTCTGTCACCTTGGAATCCTTCTCTATCCCTGTTGGGTAGGGTTTGCTGTTTCTGCGATTCTGTGGCTTTGCCTTTTATCTTCCTTCCCACTCGTTATTCTGCAGCACATCTTCCAGTCATTTCCTAAGAAGGAACACGCCGTGGAGGTACATTTTATGAGTCTTCGCCTGCCTGGAAATCGCTCTACTCTGTCCTCACACTTGATTGACAGCTTGTTTGGGTATGGAATCTTAAGCTGGAAATAATAGTTGATCAGAAGTGGTTTTTTTTTTTTTTGAGATGGAGTTTTGCTCTTGTTGCCCAGGCTGGAGTGCAATGGCGTGATCTCGGCTCACTGCAACCTCCATCTCCCAGGTTCAAGTGATTCTCCTGCCTCAGCCTCCCGAGTAGCTGGGATTACAGGTGCGTGCCAGCACACTTGGCTAATTTTTGTATTTTTAATACAGACGGGGTTTCACCATGTTGGCCACACTGGTCTCGAACTCCTGACCTCGTGATCCGCCTGCCTTGGCCTCCCAAATTGCCGGGATTACAAGCGTTAGCCACTGCAACCCAGTGAACCGGAATTTTAAAGACATTCTGTTGGCTTCCAAGATTGCTGCTGAGAAGTCTAATGCCCTAACCCATTCTTTTCCTTTTCAAAATTCTATCTCTTCCTTCTAATTGCTATGGGAAGCATTTGGGGCCTCCTCCTTATCGTTCACCTTGTGGAATCTCATGGTACTGTCTGCTTTAGGTCTGTTTTCATCTATCTGGCAGAGCACACATGAGATCCTTTGATCTGGAACATGTTCTCCTGTTTTCCTGACAATTTTCAATTTCTCATCTATGATTCTGGGCAGTTTAAAAATTCTAACAAAACAGAAGTAAAGGAGTTTCTGATATTTTGATTGTTTATGTCAACATGAAGGTCTAGTGATAGATAACCCAGGAATTTTTGTTTTTAAACATTTGGTGGCCCAGATGGGAATTCTCTAGGAGTTTGCTCTGTGTAGCATGCTTGCTGGTTTTTATATTAATTTTTATTAATGAAGTTGACCTATTATAACTCTTTCTGTAATTGGCTGGGCATCAGTCAGCCAATTGTTACTATTTTCTCTTCTGAAAACCTTATTGGTAAAAGTTAGACCTCCTGGATTGATAGTTTCCTTTTCCCTTTAATATTTTCTAGCACTTCGGGAGATTTCTTTATCATCCAAATCTGCCATTAAAATTTTTTATTTCAGCAACTCTCGTTTTCATTCGCAAGAGTTCTTTTTGTCCTTCGTTGGTCTTTGTAGCTTCTTGCTAACTTTTATGTGCTTTCTGAAGATGCTCGATAGAACCGTTGCTTTTTTTTCAAGCTTGTTTTCGTTGCCTGCATGATCTCTCTCTCCTGGGTTTTATCGTTGTGTTCTTTTACTCTTCCACATTAGAGGTTTTTTTAAATGAAGCTGTACGCCTTGGTTGAGTGGGTTTGGAGCACAGCCTTGACAGGTTGGGGGAGGTCTGTGGTGAGCTCACTCCAGGGTGTCTGTGAGGGGCGATCATTTTGTTCTAGAAACTACTAAGGCGTGGTCTTTGCTCTTGGACTGTAGTTTTCTACCAAAACATTTCCAGTTTCCTGCCTAGTTTGAAGGCGGTGTGGGGCAGCATCCACCTACATGCCTAATGCATTGGGTCTGGGGAGGGGGTATCTGCAGGAAGACTGTCTCATTTCTGCTTTCGGTGTAAAAGCACTTGACTATTATGACCGCTACCCACTACCTCTGAGCCCTGGCTCCCTCATTAAACATCTCTAGAAAATAAACTTCAGTCTCCTGCCTAGATGTCTTTCTCTCACAGACCCTTGCACAAAATTCTAAATCCTATGAAATTCTGGCTTGAACTAACATTATGCATGCCTGTTCTGGCCTTCCCTGTCAGACAGAGTCCTGGAGGCCTTGATCTTACTCGTGCTTGGGCCTTACAGCTGTCAGGAACTTCGCAGGTGCTCAGAAAATTGAAATTACTAAATTGAAATACTAAATTACTAAATTGAAATACAATGTATTTCAATTTGAATTTTGGCCATGCAGATGGTTTTTCAGCTCCAAGTTCTAGGATAAAACCTCATTTGCTTTTTATCCTTCCTTTCACCCCTGCTGGTTCATACAGACACAGGATTCTAGCAAGCTTTTTGATAAAACCTAAGTTAAATTATCTTCTTATTTGGTGATTCTGAGCAGGTTAATAACTCTTTTAAACAGAATAGAAGTAAAGGAATTTCTGATATTTTGACTGTGTATGTCAACATGAAGGTCTGCTGATAGACAGGAATTTTTGGTTTTGGGTATTGGTGGCCAAGGTGGGAATTCCACAAGAGTTGACTGTGTAGCACGCTTGTTGGTTTTTATATTGCTTTTTATTAATTAGTTTATCTAAAATAGCTCTTTCCGTCATCGGCTGGGCATCAGTCACATCTTGAGAGTCAAGGGTGTGTGCAGTGTGAGCGCTGATACTGACTTGTGTCCTCGGTTCTGTGCCTCTTGTCTGTCCAACCTGGATCATTAGCCCTTAGTGCATTTCTCCTGCAAATTCCGGACCTTGAATGTCTGCTCAAGGAGTCATGAAAGCTTTGTGTCAATTTGCCTTGTTCTGTACCAGGACATTTGGTTGAAGGGAAAGAAAAATCTCAGGCAGGGAGGACCATGAGTTCAGTTTCAGATGTGTCCCTCACTCAGCCCTGAGTGTTCTGAACTGGGAAATGGTAGCAGAATTCCTGCCTCTCCCTCCCTCTTAGGCATTAAGGAAGGTGGGGGAGACAGAAAAGCCAACTTGCAAGTCATTCTTGGTGACAGAAGATCGTGTCTGCTTCTTCCTGCAGCTTGGAAATTACCGCTACACCTGAAGCCTGCAGGTGCTGAGGCCACATTCTCTCAGACCCAAGCTTCGGGAGGCCCCTGGGGAAATTTCCCACTTTGTGTCCTGAGACCAGGAAGTCAGCAGAGAAACTCTGTGGTAAGTCACGCCTTCTTTTCTCTGAAGCATTCCTCTGTGTCCGTTAGGGGTTGTGTCTGTTCTTTCACGGCTCGCTGATTCATTCAAGGCATATTTATTGAGGGCCAACTGTATGTCCGCGAGTTAAGAGAGGGCAGAGTGGTAAACAGAGCAGGTGTGGTCTCTACCCTCACGGAAAGAGGCACATCATGGGGAATAGCCGTGCAAAGGCCCCGAGGCAAGAAATAACTTGATGCATGAAAATCTGGGTGTCTGGAGCACTGCTGGGGACAGGTGGACAGGGCAGTTAATTCAGGAGCCTAGGGCAGGCTGTGCTAGAGGATGGATTCTAAATCTTAAGAACAATGGAAGGAGAGCAGTGATTGATTTTAGGTGGAGAGTGGCATCTCATTTTTATTTTAATAAGATCATGCCCAGTTTTGAAGGGAGGTGGAGGTAAGCATGGGAGCAAAGAGGATTAGGTGGTGACCGTAAAGTCCAGTTGACTGGCAAGAGCGGCCTGTACCAGGACGGTGGTGGACGTGAGGGTCACTGGGGAGGTCAGGACCTGCTGGCTGTTGTGATATATTGGGTGGGAGGGAGTGTGAGGGGGTGACAAACCCGGCCTTCATAGTTTTGGCATGGGCTGCGTAGCAGAAGGGGAGGACCATTTCCTAAGATGAGAAAAACAGAGAGAGCAGCAGAAGTGTGGGGAGATTCACATTCAGGTTTGCATGGAAGCCCAGTTTTGAATCTGAGTTACCTGGTTGACACCTAAATACAGGGAAAAATCTGTAGTTCAATGGCCAGGTTCAGCATTCAGGAAAGAAATCTAGGCTGGCTTCTTCATTCCTTGTGAAATGTTTGGTTTGAGGTCCCATGTGCAGAGGTGTGATCTGAACTCAGGGCAGTAGTTCACTGTGTGATCATGAGACAATCTTGGGTGCTAAGAACAACAGCTCCTTTCTGTTACCAAAGGTTTTCAGTCCTGAAATGGCTGGCCAGGCACTGGGGGCGGTGACTACTCCACCTGCATTTGATCGTGCAGCAGAAGGTGAACCAGCCAGACCTTTGGTGCCCCTGCTTGGGTGTGGCATTGCCTTTGATAGCAAATGAGTCCGAGTCTCAGATTCCAGTAAGCATGGTGCTCATGGAGGAGATGGTGATGATACTGGCAGTAGTTCCGGTGATGGAGGAGATGGTGGTGATGCTGGTGGTAGTGGTGATGGAGGAGATGGTGGTGATGCTGGTGGTAGTTGTGATGGAGGAGATGTGGTGATGCTGGTGGTAGTGGTGATGGAGGAGATGGTGGTGATGCTGGTGGTAGTTGTGATGGAGGAGATGTGGTGATGCTGGTGGTAGTTGTGGTGATGGGGGAGATGTGGTGATGCTGGTGGTAGTTGTGATGGAGGAGATGGTGGTGATGCTGGTGGTAGTTGTGATGGAGGAGATGGTGGTGATGCTGGTGGTAGTTGTGATGGAGGAGATGGTGGTGATGCTGGTGGTAGTTGTGATGGAGAAGATGGTGGTGATGCTGGTGGTAGTGGTGATGGAGGAGATGGTGGTGATGCTGGTGGTAGTTGTGATGGAGGAGATGGTGGTGATGCTGGTGGTAGTTGTGAAGGAGGAGATGGTGGTGATGCTGGTGGTAGTTGTGATGGAGGAGATGTGGTGATGCTGGTGGTAGTTGTGGTGATGGGGGAGATGTGGTGATGCTGGTGGTAGTTGTGATGGAGGAGATGGTGGTGATGCTGGTGGTAGTTGTGATGGAGGAGATGGTGGTGATGCTGGTGGTAGTGGTGATGGAGGAGATGGTGGTGATGCTGGTGGTAGTGGTGATGGAGGAGATGGTGGTGATGCTGGTGGTAGTGGTGATGGAGGAGATGGTGGTGATGCTGGTGGTAGTGGTGATGGAGGAGATGGTGGTGATGCTGGTGGTAGTTGTGATGGAGGAGATGTGGTGATGCTGGTGGTAGTTGTGGTGATGGGGGAGATGTGGTGATGCTGGTGGTAGTGGTGATGGAGGAGATGTGGTGATGCTGGTGGTAGTTGTGGTGATGGAGGAGATGGTGATGCTGGTGGTAGTTGTGATGGGGGAGATGGTGGTGGTGCTGGTGGTAGTTGTGATGGGGGAGATGGTGGTGATGCTGGTGGTAGTGGTGATGGGGGAGATGGTGGTGATGCTGGTGGTAGTGGTGATGGGGGAGATGTGGTGATGCTGGTGGTAGTGGTGATGGAGGAGATGGTGGTGATGCTGGTGGTAGTGGTGATGGAGGAGATGTGGTGATGCTGGTGGTAGTGGTGATGGAGGAGATGGTGGTGATGCTGGTGGTAGTGGTGATGGAGGAGATGTGGTGATGCTGGTGGTAGTGGTGATGGAGGAGATGGTGGTGATGCTGGTGGTAGTGGTGATGGAGGAGATGGTGGTGATGCTGTGGTAGTGGTGATGGAGGAGATGGTGGTGATGCTGGTGGTAGTTGTGATGGAGGAGATGGTGGTGATGCTGGTGGTAGTTGTGATGGAGGAGATGGTGGTGATGCTGTGGTAGTTGTGATGGAGGAGATGGTGGTGATGCTGGTGGTAGTTGTGATGGAGGAGATGGTGGTGATGCTGGTGGTAGTTGTGATGGAGGAGATGGTGGTGATGCTGGTGGTAGTGGTGATGGAGGAGATGGTGGTGATGCTGGTGGTAGTTGTGATGGAGGAGATGTGGTGATGCTGGTGGTAGTTGTGGTGATGGGGGAGATGTGGTGATGCTGGTGGTAGTGGTGATGGAGGAGATGTGGTGATGCTGGTGGTAGTTGTGGTGATGGAGGAGATGGTGGTGATGCTGGTGGTAGTTGTGATGGAGGAGATGGTGGTGGTGCTGGTGGTAGTTGTGATGGGGGAGATGGTGGTGATGCTGGTGGTAGTGGTGATGGGGGAGATGGTGGTGATGCTGGTGGTAGTTGTGATGGAGGAGATGTGGTGATGCTGGTGGTAGTGGTGATGGGGGAGATGGTGGTGATGCTGGTGGTAGTGGTGATGGAGGAGATGTGGTGATGCTGGTGGTAGTGGTGATGGAGGAGATGGTGGTGATGCTGGTGGTAGTGGTGATGGAGGAGATGGTGGTGATGCTGGTGGTAGTGGTGATGGAGGAGATGGTGGTGATGCTGGTGGTAGTTGTGATGGAGGAGATGGTGGTGATGCTGGTGGTAGTTGTGATGGAGGAGATGGTGGTGATGCTGTGGTAGTTGTGATGGAGGAGATGGTGGTGATGCTGGTGGTAGTTGTGATGGAGGAGATGTGGTGATGCTGGTGGTAGTTGTGATGGAGGAGATGGTGGTGATGCTGTGGTAGTGGTGATAAAGGAGATGGTGGTGATGCTGTGGTAGTTGTGATGGAGGAGATGGTGGTGATGCTGGTGGTAGTTGTGATGGAGGAGGTGGTGGTGATGCTGGTGGTAGTTGTGATGGAGGAGATGTGGTGATGCTGGTGGTAGTTGTGGTGATGGAGGAGATGGTGGTGATGCTGGTGGTAGTGGTGATGGAGGAGATGGTGGTGATGCTGGTGGTAGTGGTGATGGAGGAGATGGTGGTGATGCTGGTGGTAGTTGTGATGGGGGAGATGTGGTGATGCTGGTGGTAGTGGTGATGGAGGAGATGGTGGTGATGCTGGATGCATTCATTTTCCATAGAAGGCAGAAAGGATGTGATGTGAAGCCTGTTTCCAGTGTAGGACACGCACTTGGTAATCATTGTTTGTCATTACAATAGAGTCACTAATCATCACTTAATGAGTAACAGCAGCATCCTGGGAGGTGGGTAACATTCCTGGAAAATACTTCAAAACCCTTTAGTTTTCATTGCTGTAATGATTTCAGTTTCTTCAATCATTTATGACAGTGTGTTTATCTGTATGCCCTAAAGAGACAAATTGTGTCATTAAGAGCACTTCCAAAGGTGTGTTTCAACTGAGTGGTGTGGGTTATTATACTTGGCCCGTGGGATACAGAAGCCAGTCTGTTGTCCTAGAGATCACAAGCAGATTATTTTGAGGGCTTATTACTTTTTCGATGTTTTTAAGTTTGGTCATTCTGGGGTTGGAAGGTACAGCGTGGAGTGCTGTATATGTGTGTGAGTCTTTCCTATATTTGGAACGAGCTGGTCTTTTTTTTGATAGATTGTTGGCTGCTTGGAATTGCAGATGCATCAGTAAGTTTTGCATTTAAATTTAGCTCTTGTTCTCACTCTAGAAGGGAATGGAATCTTTGAAGTATTTCACCGTGGAGAGCAATGAGAAAATAGGTCCTCATGACTGTTTGAAGGAGTGGGTCTAGTTGGTGAGTCTGAGGTGGGCTGCACTTTGACTTGGAAGAGGAGGCTCTGTGTGAGTAACTCCAGTTACTCACAGAATAATTGTAACCTCTCCAAAGGCAGCACTTCCCGTCTAAATCCACAGTGACCATTCTCAACAGCGCTGTTGTTTCTGCCTATCCAGGCAGGCCTTAGCATATCAGTAAAACATAGTAAGATGCTTATTCACAGAGCCGAGTAGGATCAGTTGTATCACCATTGACTTTCACAGGGGTTGTAAGTATCTGTGAGCAGCATTAAAGTTATGCTCATTTCAAAATTGCTGCAAGAGAATAATTTGAACACGCCTAGTATAAAAAAGATTAATGTGTAAGGTGACAGATATCCCAGTTACCTTGATGTGACTTTTACACATTATATGGGTGTATCAAAATATCACATGCACCCCCAATAATATGTCCATCTATTATGTATCAATTTAAGAAACTCAAATATATCAGCCAGCGTGGTGGCTCACGCCTATAATCCAAGCACTTTGGGAGGCTGAGGCCGGCGGATCATGAGGTCAGGAGTTTGAGACCAGCCTGGCCAACATGGTCAAACCCCGTTGCTACTAAAAATACAAAAATTAGCCGGGTGTGGTGGCATGTGCTTGTAATCCCAACTACTCAGGAGGCTGACGCAGGAGAATTGCTTGAACCAGGGAGGCAGAGGTTGCAGTGAGCTG